CCGCCTGGACAGCAGCCGCGCCTCTGACGGCAGGAGCGCCTGTAGCCTGCCGCTCCCTGCCTGTGGAAACGGGAGAATGGCCGCGGCTGTTTCTCCCTCCTCCTCCTCCTCCTCCTCCTCCTCCTTGCTTGGACGCGACGGGCTTTGACGGGCTGCTGCCCTTCTGTGTCGCTTTGGATCCACCGTCTTTAAGGCCGGCGGGAGACGACGACCGCTGCTGCTGCTGCTGCTGCTGCTTCCGGCTGCTATTGTCTGGCTGCCGCGGTGAGTCGGCAAACGAAGGGTTCATCATGGTGTCAAAGGCTCAGCTCATCCTCGACGACACCCATCCCCTCCACCAGTGTCCCCACAGCTGAAAAACACAATAGACTAATCATACTCTCTACAGGTCGACTGGTCCCTCTAGACCTGAAAGGCATATGATGTAGTTGTTAAACACAGGTAGGACGCCTCCTTGGATTGTGTTTGTATTCATGAGAGAGGACGGCGCTCATACACACGTACGCTACGTGACCACCAGTGATTGTGCAGCCGACCCTGAGATGAGTGGGGGGATCAGCTGCAGCTCGGTGCAATTAGATAGTCATTTGCGTCACGTGCTTTGCTTAAAGGGCAATGGACGCTCGAGCAGAGGAGAGAGATGGGGAGAGGGAGATAGACAGAGACAGAGAGAGAGAGACGGCAAAGTCATTGGCTGGTAAACATGGAGCACCGCTGCCCGTCTGTAGAATTAAGAGTTTTCATCTGATCCTCCGACCCGGTCCTGCTTCTTGATATGAGATGAGCCCCGGCCAGGCTTCCGGTACCGTTTCCCGTCAGCCATCATCATCCTCCTCACATCCAACACGCCTGATGACTCATTACTCGGATGACTGGAATGTGAGCGACAAAAGTACCAGAAGCGACGGACACATCGCTTATTTCCACACTTATCACTGCTCATATAGGTTTTTCTTTTGATTCTTTGTTTTTTAAAAACACGAACAAATACCTGCTACCGACTATACCTGCCACTGCAAAATAACTCGAAATGATTTTATTAGAATTAAAAGAAATCGAAAACATAAACAGCTGGGAGCAGCAACAGTAAATCAAGGAGGGCCGACAGAGGAACATCAAGTGGAGCACATTCAGACATTTGCCCTTCATGCATCTTACTGTTGTCACATTAATCCAGAACACAAATGTCTGCTCGCAGAAAAGAGATCAGGACCTGGAAATGTTGACCCTCCTAGTGGATTTCCTACCTTTTTCTGCCAGTTTTTGTCGGACGCTGAAGGGTAGAGTGGTGATGGGGAGGCAGAAGAAGGGATGCCGACTCGAGCGCCTCCCGACCACCAAGCAACCTGTTTCAATATTCATGACATTACATCATCGCTGGGAGGGCCGGGCCGCACGGAAATGAAGCTGCACGCTCTCATTGGAAGAAGACATGATTCTCTCTCTCTCTCTCTCTCTCTCTCTCTCTCTCTCTCTCTCCCCTCTCTCTCTCTCTCTCTCTCTTTAACAATAGCATTAGATGCAGCCTCTTGCAACTGTCCATTCACCTTGCATTCAACCATCTGAACTGGTATGGATTTAAATTGACCACTAGGAAAGTGCAAAGGCAAAGCAATGCCTTTGCAGGGGAAAGGGAAATTTAACAGCAGTCATTGAAATGCAATTATTAATCAAGGATTTAGGATTATCAACTCATTCATAAAGTATGATGGCCCACCTCTGGCAGTTTTGGTCATCATATTTTGATTAAATTGTTTCTTGCAAAACACAAATCGAAGCAAATGTCTAAGAATCATTTGTCAACCTCGTCAGTGTTAGATGGGGAGCGAAATGGATAAGAAATGTCATTTGAAGTTCTGCCTGCCATACATTTCTGTCAGAATTAGTTTGAGTCAATTTGTAGTGTTAAATTAAAGTGGATTTGGTTAGAAAACTGAGATTTTCCAAGGAGCATTTACTGTGTTTAGATATATTCCAATCTTCATAAACCGAGACATCTCACTCTGAATGAATGACTGTATATTGTAGCAGGCCAGACCCATACCAGTCATGTGGAGTTTAACTCCCTTTGCCTACCGGATAAAGGACCCACACACACATCTGAAATGGCTCCTATCCTTTACACTGCAAAGGAGGCAAACTGGTGTTGCATGCATCAACACTTAATAACAAGGAGGCTTAAATTAGCAGAAGGATTGACCCAAAGTGAAAGCTGGGATTTTCTCTGAAAGTTTCATGGCATAGATTTTAGCTTCTGTCAAGGCTTGCAGGAAGCTCTTAGCCCGCCCAACAATCAATTTGCTTCTGGCAATGCATCCTTTTACAACATTATATCTTACGGACTTAAAACTGCTCTGTGTCACTTCACAGTTTAATTGCCTGACAATATGTTGCAAGGCCAATCAGCCATGCAGCTTTCACTAAGAATGATAATCCATCTTCTCTGAATGGACCAACAGATGTTTGGGGTCTTGCACTCCCCTTCACAGTGACACACATTTTTTACTTCCCCCACCCATCCCCTCCTTCTGCCCCGGGCCTATTCAATCACTTGTGTGCATTAATGTGACAGATGTCTGCATCATGGAGGCTCCAAAGTGACAGCGGAGATTACTGGTTATTCTTTGTCTGGTGTGATAAACAAAAGAAGGTAACATGTGGCTCTGAAAGTGTAATTTAATGTGATGAAAGACATCAGTTTCTTTACTCACATCATCCTTGAATTTATTACACTCAACTTGGGCATTTGAATTACAACATGTTCCATATTAAAGTATCAAACTATTTGGATACAGCACTGAATCGAGTTATCTCATATTGAAAAATATACTTTTTTTTAGCACTTTATGTTGCGCTTCACGTGTCTGTATCTTATCCAGTAACAGGAAATGTGGTCAAGAATTTATTTCAGACTGATTAACAGTAATAATATAATGTTTTGTTGCTATATTTATATATTTTTCTACCCAATGTTTCATCCCACAACATTCAGTGGTGAGAGACTGTTAGCTGTGAGAGACATAGAGAGAGAGAGAGAGGAACTAATGAACTACCATCTAAAAATATCACCCTCATTCGTTTCACATCCCCAGGTCTCACTCTCATTCTCACTTTCTCTGTTATTCACAACCACCTTTACCCGGGATCATCACCGCAGCACCCTGTGCAGACGGGGATCCCAGGTCAGCTGCGAGTCAGGAATAATCTGCAGTGTCATCTCGTAGTGTCTGTGCACATGTCGTTTAGATTTCCTTAGCAATGCTTTAATTCATGTGTGTGTTGTAAGGAGATATAGACAAGAGTGGGATCATTTTTGTTTTATTCAAGACCGTCATTTGAATAAGCACATTCATTTGACAGGCAAAAGATTGAAAACACTAACGAGATTACAAAAAAGATCACTCGTAACACTTTAGGCTGAAGATGCTAAGCGGGACAACTCTACCATTACGATTGTTATGAAACATGTGTAATGACTTATTTTCTAAATGCACTGCAAGGCATTTGAGTGCCAATGAAAAAAATCTGCATGTGTAAAACACAAGCTCTTTCGAAACCTCCTTTACGGAGACATAGTGCACGAGATGTGGCGAGCGGGAGTGACTGGCGGTGAGGGCTAAAACAGTTGGAGGGATGTGGAGCGATTACGGGGCCCCCGTCCAAGGGAAATGTTGCTGGGGAGCTCTTGGTTTTCTGTTGCAGAGTTGTGAAATGATTGTTCTGCATTGTGGAGTAACACAAACATCAACCATGTAATCCCCCTCTGCTGGTAGAGGCCTCCCACTCACTAACTCTGTGGGGGGGTTGCACACACACAAACACACGCACACACACAAAGTGTCTCTCAATCTCTCTACCTATTACACAAACAAACACGCTCACACACAAAAATACCAACCCACCCCGCACACTCCCACCCGACACGTTTAATAGTTTATTGCGTTGGTTGTGTTTCCCACAAAGACCACAGCTGATTCAAGAAGAAGCAGAAGGGGGGGGGGGGGGGGCCAGTGATTGGGGAGGGGACAGACAGCTGCTGTGTACAGTTCCCATGGATACTTTTGTCTGAAATTGTCAAAATGGGAGAAGAAAATCCAGGATAGGATGGACAGTATTATTATTTTAAGGGGTTTACCTTTATCCCAGTTCCCATTTATAAAATGTTAATTCTCTCCGACAAGCATCTATCACTCAAGACGAACAGGACCCCCCCCCCCCCCCTCCCTCTCTGCTGGAAGCACACTTCTGTACTGCTGCCGATATGGAATACTGTGTAATAATTGCACATTTCACACGAGCGTCCAGCTTAACCCTGCTTAAATAAATGTAGCAATTCTAGCAGTTAAATGAATATTTCTTGCAATATTCTCACCTAAATATACTTAATGTATCAAATGTAAAAACTGTGAAAGGTAAACTTTTAGAAGCTAGTTCAAAAACGCCCGTTAACTCAAATTAGGTGGAGTAAAAGTAAAACTTGCAGAAAGGAAATACTTTAGTTAAGTGCCTCGGATAAATGTACTTACGGTCCAGCGGTTGGGTGAGCATTTTGTTTTTAGCACTTTATTCAGATAGAAGTGCACAGAAACATTGGTGTGTGAGGGTCATTACCTGCTTTGGGCTCCTGGTGATTTAACACGTTTTGTACCACAGCGCTAACCAGAGCTAACCAGGAACTATGAATGAATTATGTGAAAAGTTCACATACGCCTACTCAAACTTTTGGTTTATTATGTTGATCTCCTCACTTCATCAAGCATGATACAGTTCTTTGTCCCTTCCATTGTTACAGTGGATGGTTAAAAAGGTGGGGTCCAATGTGAGCCTCGTGAAATGTAACTGTGATGCCCTCTAGTGTTTAAGCCCACTCAGATCATATGTTACCATTTTTCTCTTTATAAATCGCCAATGGAAAAAACTCAGACTTGATCGCATATAATGCAAAAACAATTTAAACGTTGTAAGTTCGACCTTTAAATGAAGTTGCAAGAGAGAACCAGTATTTATACAGGCATTCAGTTTAATTGAATTTGAACAGGAATTGAAGTTATGATACTTTAAAAAATAAATAAAAAAACATGCAAGCAGTGTAGATGTGTAAATGTCCAAGCTAAAAAGCTGAGAACATTCCCAAATGCACAGTGTACAAAATATCACAATGTAATATGTACAACATAAAAAGAACACAAATACACAGACAAGCACACACAGTAGCAAGAAAATTGGTATTTACACAAAAATTAAAAAAAGCCCTAAATAACATCAAAATGTAAGACTTGAAGCCGGACACATAGCCGATGATCATAGACCACTTTTACTCTATGTACTAGATGCTGAGCAAAGTTATTCTTCAAAATACAAAGTCAGTGTTCAGTTTCACCAGCTTTTGAAAATAATCCATATTTGTTAGTCTTTTAAATCAAAATTTCCCCTGATAAGTTTCAATTCAAGCCAGATCAGGACAGAGATTAAGCTTTAAAACATAGACACAAAAATATATTTGATTGAATATGGGAAGAAATGGTACTCAAGAAAGGCTCCGTTAACTTGATAAAAACTGTCTCGGCTACTTCCCGAAATCTCCACCAGCATTTTTTTTCTTTCGGCAACACATTTTCACCAGCATGTTAAGACAAACAACGACGGGAGAGATAATAGAAAAAGACAGGTAAAACATCTGCAAAGACACATCTCCGCCAGCTTTCCTGTCAAAACAGGGAACATTGATATAATCATCAGATTCATCATTTCAGGATAATATTCATTATATCACATAGCATTACATACAAGTAGGGATATACAGAAATAGAAAAATCTATTTATAACCTTCTATGAGATACAGTTGATGATAATTCCATCATAAAGCAGTGCTGGAACAATCCATCCAAGTCTCAAAGGGTTACAAATCAATCATTTCTATTTCAATGTACATCTCACCTCTGGATATTGATTTGTTTTCTTTAATTGTGATGTAAGTGCACAGTAATGGATGACAGCTCAAAAACACGGAGCAGCTGAGTCCACAACTTGAAATAAATAAGAATAAAGACAAGTCTGTGTTCACAAGTAAAAGGATGACTGCCGAGGTGTTTTTTCAGTAAACGAGAACTGTAAACTTAAGTCTCTCACAAGTAACATCAATAAAAACTTAAATAAGATGGGGTCAAAATGCCATGATACTATACATCATCACTTTTTTTATATCTGTAAAGGTGAAAAACAACAAAAATGATGAGCTCAAATATACGTTGATGTGTTTTGCGTGTTGTGATGTGTATTCCTCTCGATACAGCAGAGTCTTTTTGAGCATTTAATGGAAAGTTTCCTTTCTAGACCAAGTTTTACGTGGCTGAGTCACTTTTTGAACCAGATCCACAGTACGTGGCACCACCACAAAGAGAAGGAATACTAACATTTATCCCCAACCATACACTATTGTATTTTAGGGTATTTAGGACACCTTGGGCCTCTAACATCTCTTACCAACAGGGTGGTCCTCTCCCAACACAAAGGTGTCTCATATTTCATCCAAAACAACTCAGTTACTGGCTTAAATAAACACAACCAACCTTAACGCATCCGTCTATCTAAATCTTGCTCAAATGAAGTCTTTCATGTTTTAGCACTATCAACCCAGAAGCCAAAGCGAGGCCCTACCTCACCTCCTCCTCTCCGTAGCTCCTCCTCCTCTAATCTCTTTTGGCTCTTCCTTTCCTCTTTCTCCTCCCAGAGTGCTCCTGGGCCTTCTCCTCTTTCCTCCCCATCGCCACTGCTCCGTTGGCGGCCTTGCTGAGCCCGTTGAGGGCCCCGTTGGAGAGGGCCTTGCCCCCTTTGGAGGAGGAGGCGTCGCGCCGGGGCTGCTGGCGGCGGTAGGTCTGGTAGTAGAAGTTGCCGAAGAGGACGATGAAGGTGATGGCGTAGCAGATGAGGGAGTAGTGCATCCAGTGGGGGAAGTCGCAGTTGACGTAGAGGGACAAGGCCGTGTGGCCGATGGTGACATGGAACTGGATCTGAGACACGAGGAAAGACAATCCCATTTTTGCGTTACGTTGTGTAATTGCTTAAACCTGAGAACTGTCATTTCAGTGTCGAAAAGGTGACGTTAGATTAACGTTTCAAATCATATACATTTCTTTTCCAATCAGCCGCACAGGGAGATGAAATCTTACCATCTGAATGATTGTCAAGTACTTCTTCCACCACAGGTACTTTTGGATCTTAGGTCCACAGGAGGCCAGGCCGTAGTAAAGATACATCAACACGTGGATAGCTGCGTTCATGTGGGCCCCAAAGAATGCTGCAAATGTAAAAGAAAATTCATACACTGATATTCATTTTACCAATTTTATCAAGACTTTATTGTACTTTTTTCCCCATATCAGGAAAACAATTTTTTTTTAGTGAAGAATATGTTAAATAACAAATAAATAAAGCCACATCAATGCACAAGTACTACGCAAAACAAGAAATTCTTTGGCAGATTATCCACTGCAATGGATTATGTATTCATGTCTCTGCAAAATATTGTTTGTGCTGTTGGTGATTTTGACACAAAGGGGCACGTATACATATACAGTTTAGGACACCTCTTCCTACCTTCCTATTACAAAATCAAACAAGTTGCTCAGAACGACAAAACATGATCAAGTCCTTTGAGTCCAACAATAAATGTTCATTTTAACTGGAGCTGAAGGAAAGAAGGGGTAAATGAACAAAGTAGGCAGAGGGAATAATGTAGGACTCCAATGTAACATGAGCTACTCACACTGTCCTCCTGCCACCCATTTGATGCCGATCCACCAGAGAGTGAACATGGTGCAGTGGTGGTAGACATGCAAGAAAGTAACCTGGTTGAATTTTTTCCTCAGGATGAAAAACACCGTGTCCAGATACTCAATGCCCTTAGAGATGAAATACCACCACAGAGCTCCTGCCACCTGTGTCAGGGCAGAACAAGGAAACAAGGAAACGTTGGTTCAGAGCAGTTCAATTGGACTCGCATTTCTAACTTGTTCTAAAAAGCTTTTTTTGACTCAACAGAATTGCGCGCACACTTGTACTTCCTTTAGGACATAGTCTTTGTTCTTTGCTACTCCGTTCTATCAAACACATTAAGCTCACGGCCACTTGAGACCGGTTGGCTGTCAGATGTGTATCTACATCATGGAGCAGCAGGAAAGAGGGTGAAACTGAACACCTTCAATGATCCCTCTACCAAACCCGCACTTTCTCTAATGACGCGGGCCGGGTCCAAATGGACGGAAGATGGTCATTTCTTCTGAAACCCGCCCCAGACATAAAGTCAAGGACATGAAGTCAAATGACTGCACGCACATACACCATATGACAGTGAGGTACCCAATCAGTACGGTGAAGTCATTTGAGGTAATCTTCCACTTTCATTTAACAAAAGTCTCTCACCCTGACTTCATTGGGGTCATCTGAGTGGTCCACCGGTTGACAGATGTAGCTGTAGCTTGCCGCCCGTGCTGCCATGAACAGCTAAAGAGAATACGAAAAGAAACCGTTACTGTCGTTGCACTCATGTGGATGGATAGTTACTCAACACGGGAGCACTTGTAGCTGATAGTCACCAACCTCTTTAAAGATGAAGAAGTTGAGAAAGACCATGCTAAAGTTGTAGACGATGAGGGTTTTGCGTAGCTGGAAGGGCTCCCTGTTCTTCATGTATTTGGGCCCCAGCCAGAGGATTAGCAGGTAGGAGGTGCTGATGGCCAGCGTGGGCAGAGGGTTGTCCATAAGAGGCCATTTCTCCACTCGCTTGTCTGTGGCACAGATGTTCTTATAGCATTACCTAACTGTTCTTAATGTCTGCATCACACTGTTACAGCATGGGTTCAATGTTAGTTGTTTTAAGGGCAGCGCAGGCAAAGCCAGTAGGAGTACAGATGCCAATTGTCCTGCGGTGACCTTTGGTTTGGTTCAATGGTGCATGTGATCCTTTGACAATGTTGTATATGTCCGTGAATTTTACTTTGCTTAAGAGGTCAAAGATACACATTATATTCATTGATTCAGCAGACATAAGAAACAAAAGATAAGATCAGGTAACATACTGATTGGAGATCAGGTATAAAAACAAGGTAACCCCGCCCCACACATTGACAATATATTGCGGGCACGTACACACACTCTTCTATTATGGTGCATCTTTGACACATCCTTCTGCAAATTCTAACCAGAGCAACATCCATTCACCGACTCATTGCAGGAAAACCATCTACCTGTAGATGAAAACGTATCCAGTCAGTTGTAAAACACCATTGCTCTATGATGCAAGACTTACCTGCAATAGTTAGGGTCCATTTGTAGAACTCTATGGTGTCGTTAATTAAATGTGTGACAATCTCCATGTTTCTGGCCGATGACCTGAAATTAAAGAGACAGACATGAGGATCTCATCTTTTAAGTCCTTTAAAACCGAGGAACCGTAGGCATTTAAACTGGAAAATAATAATAATTCTGTTTTTTAAATAAGTGATCTTTAAATAGTATAAAGCTGTAGGAGAAAGCAGCCCAGGCCAACAGAAGTTCAGGTTAAAGCCTGTAGGAACCTGCGGCTCCACGAGGCCATGATAGAAGGGCTGTACTCTCCTTTGCGCACAAAGGCACCGGTTGGCAGAGCGCAGACCCTGGTGGTCCTTATAATGATTGAGGGGGGGGCTCGTGCCCCACCGTTACATTAAAATGGGTCATCTCCTATGCACAGCCAGACTGGCGCATATGTGGATATGTGTGATTGAATGACCCCCACCCCCTCCCCCGGTCCCCCGTCCCTCCCTCCCCGACTCTCTCCCTCTCTCGGATCAAGGGCTGCTGCAGCATCTGCCTCAGTCCTACAAGCGCTGCCCGCATAAACCGCTGCGGACACAAACCACACACTCCCGTATAGAATAGAAATATAACCGCATGTCGCACGTTCCCAAAAGGCGTCGGCTAATATATTTACAATGTGATCATTCACTTTTTCAATGCCAAATATCTGTTGTCTGCAGTCCGGCCTTCAACAAGGCTGCATGAGCCATCCCACCATCCATATGGTTTTTCGAAAATGCCCTGTGTTTGTTTTCGTCTTACATCGTACAATCGAACCGATTACCGCCTCCATCAAAGATAAACGTGGCCTCAATCACGACTCCCCACGGGCGACATATGCTACCCGATACTGATATCGACATTGGTCTCTCCATCTTCTCCGTGCAAAAGAAGATGCTCGTTTCCTTACCGTGTCGGCGCTGTACAAAATATCCGTCTAAAATAACATTCAATGCAAGGTCACGCAGCGCGCGTTGTTCCGCGTGGGGTTCGACTGCGCTCGTTCTCTGTGGATCGATCAACGGTTCCGTATCTAGTGTGACATAAACGGGCTGCTGAGTAAACGGCGATGGGCATGAATTTGTCGTTAAGGGAACCAGGCTGCACTGCGCGTCTGCCTCCCTCAGTCTCTCCTCTGGTCTCACACAACGACACACTTCCGATCCAACTTTCAAAATAAAAAGGCATTGAATGGTACCTTTCCAAGTGGAAAATAATTTAAATAATTAAAGTAGCAGTAATGACAAACATACAAACAACAATATATTACTACTGCTGCTGCCAATAATTATAAAAACAATGCTTATAATAAAATAATAACGCTCATATTTTGGTATTGTTTTTTCAATAACCATTCAACCGCGCACATTTCGCATCAGTTCAATCTCTCCTGAAACTTACATGGCAGTGCAATGCGTTTGGGGATTTAAATATGTTTCTTCACATTATCCGCAGCAGATGAAGTCCGCGTGCTTATGATTATTCGCTCAGCCTCAAAACGAACTCTTTTTATTTGAATTTCCTGCTCGCTGTATTCTGTCCAGCTTCATGCTGCTCGACCCGGTGGATGGCAAGATGCTATGCGCATGCGCACAAATGGAGGCGGATGCAGCAGCATCAGCTTCATCAAGCTCGCCATACTCAACTAGAAAAGGGCAGGCAGAGCAGTGGCAATAAACCATTCATGAAAGCGTCTCTAACGTGACGGAAAATGCATACAATTGTGCAGGTTTGCTAAAAATGTAGATATCAATATCAATCGCTGCAAAATAGATTAGCATCGAACTTCAAACTGTATGTATTTTTTTTAAACGAGGCTACACGATACAGCAAAAGCCGGGGAAGACAGGTCTTCATTTATTTTATTTTGAAATCCTTGACCAGGATCCCAAAATTGACTAAATTGCGCTTGACATTCCGTGGTTCCGCTGCTGCACCGGCTTCTCCTCTCTTATCCTTCGCTGCACGAGCTGCATATTTCAATCCATAAATTCGCCTGCATGTTGTCCTTCTGTGGGTCATGTGACGTGAGGACCAGAAGCGCACATTGTGCGACCTTTACGCGCGGCTGACGCGAGGGACGCGATCCCCGGAGTCACTTCACTGATGGTCGTGAGCGTCCGTCAGTAAAGGCCCCTGCTCTCTGAACACCGACGCGGTTTCCTCTTCTGAAATGTGAGCTCGGATCACGGGTCAAAGGCTTTCGCGGCATCGATAAGACGTGTCTGGTGAGAATGAAGATTTGGAGCACGGAGCATGTTTTCAGGTGGGTCCGTTAGCGTTGTAAAGCGGAGGGGTCCGACATTGGAGGGTCAGGTTAATGGACCTCCAACTTCATTAAGTTTGAATTAATGTAATTTAATCCCAAGTTTTGTCCCAGAAAAGTACATATTGGGGAGTTATTTTAGTTCATTACAGGCTTACAAAAACATTCCTACACGCTCAGTTTATCAAAAGCTTTGCCAGCTGAGTTCATCCAATGGGAATCAAATTCCCGTTTATTCCCCACTGTGACTCTGTCTCTGTGTGCAGCTACCCGTGGGAGACGGTGATCAAGGCCGCCATGAGGAAGTACCCTAACCCCATGAACCCTAACGTGGTCGGGGTGGACGTGCTGGACCGCAGCCTGGATGCAGGAGGACGCCTGCACAGCCACAGACTGCTCAGCACTGAGTGGGGCCTCCCGGGCATTGTGCGAGCGGTCAGTCATCAACGCACGCACACACACACACGCCGGCACAGGTGTAAAGAAATATAGACGCAACTTCTGTGCTGCAGCAGTGAAACGCGTGTCCTAGGACGTGTCAGTGGTCTTTCCATTGAGCAGGAGCGGGTTTGGTAAAAGTAGTGCAGAACATACACAGATCAAGCGATACGTTGATCGTTTATCACCCTCCTCGCTGTGTATTGTCGGGTGTGTAGATACTGGGAACCAACTATACGCAGACGTACGTGAAGGAGCACTCCATAGTGGACCCAGAGGAGAAAAAGATGGAGCTGTACTCAACGAACGTAAGACAAGAGTCAGAAATCACAAGATGCACTATGGTAGTTTAATGTAGAAATTGTCGTGTCCTAATAAAAAAAGTGTGCACTTCATACGCATCACAATCTCCCATCAATAATTAAATCCAAATGAATTTGATCACCCAGATCACGCTCACCAACCTGATATCAGTGGACGAGCGGCTTCTTTACAGGCCGCACCCGGACAACCCAGAGGTGTAAGTACATTGTGCGATTCATTCAACTTCATCTTCCGAAAACTCATCCTAACCCCCCTCCTCCCTCCACCCTCCACCCTCCAACCTCCTCCCTCCTCAGTACCGTTCTGACCCAGGAGGCCATCATCACCGTCAAGGGAGTGAGTCTAAGCAGTTACCTGGAGGGGATGATGGCTAGGAGAATGTCAGCTAACGCCGTCAAGGTGACACAAAACGGGCAGAGTACACGTACATTCACACACGTTCTTATACCCTTTGCATGAGATCTGAAGTTATAAATGATTGCGGGTGATTCCTTTGCATGTCATTAACCTGCACTTCACTGTCTCTGCAGTTTTCATTGCGCGTTCGCTGGACCCGCAGTCAGAAGTGACTGCTCCTCTGTTTTCTTTGTTTGGCTTCGGTCTTCTCTTTAATCCTCTGTTTCTCTGTGTGGATCTGCAGGGTTGGGATGCTATTGAGTGGATTATTCAGAACTCTGAAAGAGAGAACGTACCTCTGTGTGACATTTACTAACTCTGGTAACTCTTTTCACATTTGATATGCTTTACGACCTTCAGTCTCACCCGACTATTTTTAAGCCCGCCTCTCCATCAAAACAACCAACATCCGAGGTCTGATATGTATTTATGCATGTGTCACATACGGCTCACTGCTCATTTGTTTGCGTACACAGGACTGCAGTTCCACAGCTTTACCCGCTTCGCACCTCATAAACCAACGAGGATTCTCAGCATCCTCTCAGGATCCTCTGCAATTGGTTCTTCCACCGCGATGCGCTGAAAGCTGAGACTGACAGGCGAATGCTTCCAAAGCTGAAGGGCTACGGAGCTGGATGGAGACGGTAGTTAGTGGTGTCGCTCAACGCTCACTCGGTTAGCCACTGTTCCCCATCAGAGCGAGCAGGGATGAACAGGACGGCATCCTTCCAGCTCCACCGCAGAATACATCGACTTGGTTTGATATTCAACATGTACACATTGTGGAGGAAACAAGGTATGGCATTATGTCAATATGCAAAAAAGAACATCTTAACTTTTATTTGAACTTATTTCATGCCACAGTGGTGATTCCTATGGCGGACTTAAAAAAAACAAAAAACATTTTCACTGGTGATAATTCATGTTCTAAGACACACAAACTGTACATGACATGATTGCATGATATCAGTTTGAAAAAATGCTATTTGCTAGATTTACATTTGCCAATGCAGCTTTAAATAGGTAGGAATTTAAAGAAATAATATAGTTCATCTCAACATAAATAGTGGGAATGTACCGTTAAAAATGGTTTCTTTATCTGCTTGCAAAACATTATTTTTTTTAGTCTAGGCAGTTTTGCCTTAAACCAGCAGATCTGTAGCTGCGTTCATGAAGATGCAGAGGACATGTTCGGGTTTTGTGATCAGTACAGTTGACTTTGTCTGTGGGCAGAATTGCCCATTTTGCATGGCCTTAATGAGGCCTATTAGAGTTTTGTTCATGCCTCAATCATTCATGCCTTTACCAGTAATATACACGATGCCTCCAAAGGTTTAAGCTCTCTGGAACGCGCTCCCTTCACCCCCTGAGGAGCAGGACTGTTGCAGCAGGAGATGCACACAATTACAATGATCACGTAAAAATGAATATTTACATATTTTTTGTATAATTATTTTTTAAACTCTGTAAATTATTACAATGGGATGTTTGTATTGTCTGAATGCCATGCTAAAAAGAGTTCTTTAATTTGCTTTAAGTGTTATTTTTTTACTGCTGAAAGAATTAAAAATTTGTTTTTCAGGCAGCTCAATGTTTAACAACCTTGTGTTATTATACAGCAGGTCTGCCCAACACATCTCCCAGAATCCTTTGTGGTTTAAAGACACTGCAGAGGACTGCTAGGGTAGGGGAATGTCATTTTCTTCAGCGTCAGTGTTAAATCATCCAAGTACTGTGTAGTGTCTCTGCCCCAGAATGAAACCCTCATGTATGAATATTGAGAGCTGATCGGGGGCAAAGAAAGTCTCTCGGGGAGACGGCTCGATGTCCTGAACTCATTCCGGAGAGCTCTTTTATAAACGAACAGCCTGCAGGTCACTATATCTCCAATAGAGAGCACTATTTTGCTGCTAGCAGCAGGCAGGAGGCTTGCTCACCTCCGAAGAAACCAGTGAGGATTTTAAATACGAGGGACCGGGTGATTGAGAAACATAAGGCCTAAGTGCTAGAGAGAAAATACATAACCAATGAGTATGGTTATTCTCTTTTGTTTATTCAACAGAACATAAACAACGCATTGCATAGCATGTACATCATTCCTCACTGACTGCGCAGTGGTCGACTAAAGTCTGGGTCAAATTGCACCGGAATACAAATATTGCCTTAATAAGCCAACACCATCCGCTGGGGGTTTATACATCATCAGGAGACTAGATGAAAATAAAATTATTCTCAACGGATAAGAGCCTCAGCTCTTAAATACCACTGTTTTGCTGGGAAAAAAAACAAAAAGGAAAACCTTCCAAACAAGGATTAAACTGTACCAGTTTCAAGTTTTGTGATAAAGGCACACGCCATCGTCATGTGGACTATGTTACATTACAATCTTTGGTAATATTGCACACCGGTGCGGTTACTATAGCAGCCACAGCAGAACATGAACACAATGATAAAAAAAAGTCATATAAAATCTTTATAAAAGTGAAAAACAGCAATAACAACTTTTGGTGTGCCAACATCGTCATAGAATCATCAGTCCAACGATCGAATTACTGACTCACATAGATGCTCTTAGGTACTGCAGCAACCCAAGAGTCGTGCCTCGCCATCCCAGTGCCGAACTCTACTAATGTAAACTAGATCTCAACATCACACGTTGCATCCCCCCCCCCACCCCCCACACGTGAGCTCCTAGATTAAACAAAACACAATTTCAAAAACAGGTTTGAATTTTCTCCTCCCTCTTCCTGGGAGGAAAAAAAAGGAAACATCATAAGAACCCAAAACATTACATAAAACCAAATTCCCAAAGTGGGGGAAAAAGTGCATACTTTAGAGGTCATGAGGTGCGTTTGCTTTGGAGTATAGTTTCAACAACCACATTAAACTAAGACTTAACTCTTGACAGCCGAGTGTTCCCTTCGTCCTCAGCCTTCGTCTCCTTCCCTCGGTCACATTCCCTCACGGTACACTGGGAATTCTCCCAGAGCTTCAAAAGAAACTCCATTGTCTGTGAGTCATACCTCAACTAAATACACAAGGAATTGATTGTGCAATTAACAAAAAAATACATGTACATTTCTATGTACAGTATATGTACAGCCCAAGGGGATCGGGGGGATCAGAATTTGAAAAGGTTGATGAAGTCTTGAGGGGAGAGGGACATGGTGCAGCTTTCTGGGTTGTTTGCGGTGCAGGGATGGTTTGTGTCCTGTGAGGAGACGCACAATCCATATTGAATGGTTCATTTCTCCTTTTTTACGGTTTAGACATGTTTATTTTTTCATATCCACTTTGATCAAGTGCAAAAGGAAGAAAAGAAAGGCTACCTTCCAGAAAAGGATGTGGCAGTGGGTGCAGAAGTGCAGTGTGTCACTGTATTGCTCTCTGTGAGGATAGCAGCGGCTCAGCTTAGAGTACATCTTCTTCCACTCCAGGAGACCTTTATCGGAGACCATCAGGCGCTTTCGGATCTAAAGAAGCAAACAGACGTTGAGACGCGACCCGAGGAGAGATAAATACCATCATCACGTGACAGTGTGAGGACATCAAGCTGTCACGTGTGCCAAGTCCACCAGTCTCATTGAGGGATAGCCTGCTGATTTCTACGTGCCTGTCTGTCTGTGAAATGGTGATGGCAGAGCCTCTTCCACAGCAGCCGGTCCTCAGCGAGGTCCCCCAGGGAGGGGCACACCTGGCCCAGGCTGACCAGGTCCCTTCCATCCGACAGACGCTGCATGATGTTCAACTGCAGATTGATAGGCAGGTCGGTCAGAGTCATGCTTGTCGATGTGGGCTGCCGGCAGAAAAAAAAAAAAAAAAAAAGGAAAGAAAGAACAAAAGCCATTGTTTTAATACAAATGCGACTTGTCCTCCGTGATTTCTTCATTTCCCACCAAAGGAGAGGTTTTGTGAATCTCGCCCTGTCCTTTCTGAGCAGACGCTCACCCTGTTGATCTGGATGCTGTCCAGCTGCTGGTGCCACTGCAGGATGTTCTCCATGCGGTGCAGCCAGGTGTTGATGTTCCCCACCAGGACAGACTTGCCCATGTCCTGAACGAGACCACACAGCGAGACGTAGAGCATCTGCAGCAGCTCCTTGATGGGCCGGATGTTCTGCTGGTCGTTGAGAACTGGAGGAGGAAATCAAGACGTTACTTCACTGAACTCAAATTACAATCGGTAACGCGGAGTTTACCCAAACACTGATATTTGTGAGTCGATCAAAAAGCACATCTACGCAAAAGTAGCTGTACACTTCTCCTGCGACATTTAGCCAACAGCCACCGTAACAACCCGAATCTCTGTTTAGCAGAGGGAACGTTTTGTTTACGCGGCGGCTTTCTGGGCCGTCTGGTGAATGTCTTGTGTGTGTTTTACGGTGTCATTAAAGCACTAAATTCACTCCCCTGCCTCCTTCCCAGGCAGGCAGGCCTCATTTGCTCACCTTATTGGTGCAAACAAGAGAGTAGCTTTTATCGGTTTGTCTCTAATAAGGAAGTGCACCGCTTCACATTTGATGCAACAATAAAGAAAACCAAAAAAAAAACAGATGGCAGAGCTACACTTTCGCACATCAGTCATAAATGACCCTTTTCTTATTTAAACTGAAGAGAGAAGCTGCAGGGACATTGGTCAAGCGACTTTATAGAAAGAGCGGCTCACCTTTCTGTACCACCCTCTCCAGAATATTCATGTAGTTTTTCTGCGCCACTCCGCTGAGCGAGGGGAGCTGGGACTTGGCGATAAGCTCCAGGAGCTGGAGAAGAGAAAAGAAACACAACACACATTTCATCCCGTCAGCTGCTGAGACTCTCAGTTCCAGTTGCCTCAAAACTTGATGGTTGTTATGCTGCTGCCTCGCGAAAAGGCACTCGCACACCAAACAATAAAGCACGGCCTCGAACTAAGTTGGAGCGGCTCCACCTGGTCCTCCCTCTCGTCTGAAGCTGGGCCCAACAACACTCTTTGGCGCTGAGCCCTCTTGATCAGAGTCTCCTTCAGGGGAGAAGCTACTGGAAAGGTGTTGGACAAGAGCCCGGGCTGTCAACATCATCAGCCTCCGCAAACAAGCTTTTAATCACTCCACTGCCAATCCTCCCGTCACGTGAATCAGCTGAATCATTTGACAGAGTGCGTCTGCACTGTGTGTGTGTGTGTGTGTGTGTCTCCATGTCTGCGTGGGTGTTGTCGCTGGCTAGCGGACAGACGGTGGGTTGCAGGGTGGCACGTCTGGCATGCAGCAGATCCTGTGACATCATGGAGAAACTTAAGATTCTCCCCAAGCTCAATTCTCAGCGGAGCATGCGACCTTGGTCGACATCCACATATTGTGCAGGGTGGAGGGAGGTGGGATGATTGTTATCAGGTGAATACAAAAGTCATTGAACATTTCCAAACTCAAAAATGTTCATAATCACAAACAACGTCGACTGTGAAGAAGAGTTGAGTCAAATCTTCAACGAAAGGTGGATTCTTTGGTCGGCCTCGACAAAACCTTCCCGTGAACGACATTATTCTCAGACAGCCTCGTCCTCCTGTGTTTTTTTTTTAATTTAATTTGAAGCCTCTTCGCTCCCTCCTGGCTCCCCTAATCATTCATTCCAGCTCCATTCCTAAAACCTAATCCCTTCTGCTTTTAGCCGCTCATCAAGTGTTACTGTCTTTGTAGAGCAGCCGGGCTGAACAAGTTGCGTGTCAGTGTCCACTTTTAGCTTCCGCTGTCCTCCAACCTGCGAGCCACAGCTCGCAGTTTTCTACACAAAAAAAAAAGTAAAATGGGTCGTGTTGTGGCTGTGTAATGACAAACAAACACTTCAAACGGTTTCGGTCTCCTTGAAACAACCTCCATTCGTGTGCCCCGAGAAGACAGAGGACCTCTCGTCTCTTCGTGGAGGAACCTGATCCGTGTAACTGACCCGGAGTTGAATGAACCCCCAAATGTCATGAGACGCCGTGTCCAGACTAGACGCTAGTGTTACACAGCCGTATTGTTCTTACCACAATGCATTGCATTGGTAAACTGGAACATGGGCTAGAAAAGGTCAACCCAAAGCGTCGGCAGACGGAAAACAAAGTTCTGCGTAAAGAGATTAAACACTTGGATCACCTGTGTAATAAGGCTGTTGTTGCTTAATGCTGACACCTTACACTGGTGTGTAACTGTTTAAAAGAAATAAAATAAACAGTGGTAAAGCATAATCCAGAGGAAACGCACTGTCCTGCCAAAACAGAGTGGCTCCGGTACATCACGTCACGTTCCCCGGCCCAGCAGAGGCAGCGCAACAGAACTGCAGCACAGTTTAAGTGAAGAGAGACTGAAGAGCGACTGGAGGCGGCCGGAGTTTGGCAGAGACGTATAGACACACACACACACACACACACACACACACACACGCGTGTGCGCGTGGGTATGGAGGTCCGAGTCACCTGACAACCACAGAGTCTGCTGGTTTCATAACCCCCCCCCCCTCCAACCAGTACAGGAGAACACAACCACGTGCACGGAGCTCTCGTGTGGGAGAGCTGGTGTTCAAGGACGGGACGCTTTGATGTGGGTGGGAGGAAAAAAATAAAATAATCTGTTGAATGTGCAATAACACACGTGATATAATGAATGTTGTGTTAGTGGACCTTTTCCACAAAGCCATTTAGCATCACTACTGAATGTGAATCAGTTGAACAGTTGTAATTTATAGAACCGTGTCAAAGGTTACTGAATCTGTGGTTAGCGATAATTGTTTTGGGAATTACGCAGCAGTTCAATTCAATGTGTCACACGGTTATCCTACCACACACACACACACACACACACACACACACAAATATACACTCCCTGGGTCAGCGTCATCACCATTGAGAGACCCTTGTCTGCTGAGCGTTGATAAGAGCCGGCTAGAAGCCTGCACACCCTCTTAACCTTAACTCCTTCTCTCCCACCAAACAAACAGAGAAAAAAGGACACCAAGGGGGTGAAACTGGTAGAAGAGAAAGAGATGAGGACTCACTCGAACGACATAATTAAATCTCCTCGTGTCCTTGATGGCGCTGCAGAAATCCAAGCGGTTGAAGGCCTCTCCCAGTGTACAATATCCGTGGCGCTGTGGAAAAAAAAAAAAAACAGTCATTGGGTTAGATTGAGATCCTCATGTTTACATTAGCAATGAGGAGGTGAGCGGTTGGTTTGTTACCTCCTTGGTGCTTCCTTTATGAACATAAATCCACTTTTCCCTGTGGAAATCTGTGCAGAGAGCAGATTGTTTATATTAAGCAGCATATAATGACCGTGACAGATGCACGCACACACACACACTGCCAATAAGATACAATTTTGGAGTCAGTGGTTATTGAAATCAGTTCATCAAATGCTGGGAAATTAATCACAAACAACATCAGGGTTCCTTTCCCCCCGAGACCTTTACAGAACATCCCCAAGCCTCTTTGTTTAATGAGCTTTGTTCTAAAAGTAAACTTCACATATTTTATGTGATATTTTTGTATTACCCCGCGCGAAAAAATTAATTCTGCCACTTTAAAACTGAAGTCAGACTGTGCGGGCCTTCAGTGTTCACTCACAGGGGACCTTGGCGTTGTTGTTCATGTGGTCCTTCTTCCTCTTCTTGGCAGCCATGTCGTAGTTCAGGGAGAGCAGCAGGTTCTCTTTGTTGAAACAATCCTCCTCCTCCTCGGCTTTGCAGAAGCTGGAAAAGAAAAAAAACAACCACACATATTTCATTAAAAGGCGTCGTCTCACTATTCTCGGTAGCCTGCACACTTTTTTTTCTGCCTCTTCAGTAACAAATGAAGTGCACCAAAACTAAAAAGGCATCAGCTCCACTGCGCATGTCCAACGTGATTCAACAACAACAACAACAAGCCCTTTAACCAGTATCAAAGGCAGTGTGGACATTTAGTAAAGAGCACAGGCTCAATGGACGTATGTTAATCCACCCACTTGTTGTGGGGTTATTAATAGCTCAGTGATCAGCCCGGAAAGGGAACATGGCCCCAGAAAAACAAAGACACCGAGGTTAGAGGAGATGGAAACAACGAGGAAGGTGCACGGCTCGCGTCCCTCTGCCAGCCTGCCTTTGTGCATCACCTCCCTCCATCGCCCCCCCACTGGAGAAGTAACTATTAATGGTCGTGTCGCGTAATGACCGACCTCTCCACGGCGACGTTGTTGTTCTTCTCGTCCGCCGTGGTTTTCTTCCATCCCTCCTCCGTTTTAACCCAACTCTGACCCGGTGACCTCCAGTCCTGTCCGAGGAAAGGCATCCTGCTTCGACGACGTTGAGTTCAAGTTGAAATAAAAGTATCGCGAACCGAGAGCCCTCCTCGCGGTTGAGTTAATATGCGTCCTGTCCCGGAAAGAGAAGTTGCCCTGTACGTATTTCTGGTCTACTGTTGTCATTGCGCAGCTCTTCTTTTTATCCTCAACTCAGAACCCGGAAATGGACAAGCTCCGCCCACCGTGGAAACTTCCCTGCAGCACGTGGCTTTGTTTATCAACCGAAGCGTTGCAAAACCTCCTCGGGAGAACAGCGTGTAGGTGACACAAGTTCTGCCGTGTCGGGGAAATGTGGGGACGGAGGACAGCGAGGATGTCGGGAGGGGTCTCAACATTAATTAGTCCATTAACTGTCTCTAGATATTCACTCAGATAATCCACTAAATGGCAAGATACATCATGGAAGTTTACATGAGTATGTTCTACTTTACTTTCCTATATTTTACAGTCATGTACCGAGTGTAAATGTCTCAACAGTCACTTCATAAAAATACAAGATCAGACAAAGCATGGCGGAAAGTATGATTGTAAAGTGTCAATGGGCCCGACACAGTTTTTTTCTTACAGAACGCATGCAACACACAACTCAAAAAACCCCTCTATATTATAACAATAGTCACATTAGATCCTAAATGGATACGGTACTGTTTTGGATAAAAGTAAATTGCTCCGAGTCTTTTGGCAAAGCTTATCTGTGCTGCCGTTTTGTCAATGTGAACATACTGGCTGAAAAGTCCCCCGATTCTTAGTCACCACTGGAATTGTAAATACATCAACTGGTCCTTGTAACTGTACCTGGGTTACATTGTGGATTGTGTGGCAGTGTGTGTGTTTGTCAGCAGGGAGGTCATTGTCAACCGTCCCCCAAAAATACCAACTGATCTGTGAAGACAATGGACATATCTATTATTTTTGGACTGTGCCATGAAAGATAATGTGTAACTGTGTGTGTTCTGCCCAGCGGGACAACTCTCATCCGCTTGATGAAACACACGATGTGTGGACACACTCATCTGTCAGGCTTTTAAGCATAATCAGGTAGAGTTGAAATTTGGGATTTGCCATCCGTAAGAGCGTCTGATCGGTGAAGTCATGTGACTGCTGATGGGAAGTTTTCTTCTTCGTTTTCATCACTGACGTGTACTGACTAACACAAACCCATTTACCCACAAGGGCTCAGTTCATTCCTTCTGTTCTATTCAGATAGTCACGTGAAACATGAGCGCACAGTGGTTCTCCCTCAATGGAAGTGCATAGCAGTTTTATTGAAATCGTTGAATTCATTCAAACATTCTTGTCATGTGCGTATCCCGTGTTGCTGAAGCTTTTGGAAACAGGTGCATCTGTGGCTTCATGTCCGAGGTTTGAATTTAACACCCTGATATGTGCGAAAGGTCACGGCTCTGCCCAAACCTCGCACGTTACAATCTGTAAACAAGATGTCACAGGACAATATCGCAAAGCACATTGGGCTGATGTGCTCGGACAAAAACAGCTCTCGCTCCGGCTAGCGTAGGAGGTGTACAGGGATGTGTATGGTGTATATTTGTAGGCCAAACTGCAGGATGACATGGAAAGTCCCTGCTAGTGTTCGGTCAGTTGATGAGTGAGTAACGTAGGAGGAAGCTGTGACCTACGGCTCCACAGAGTATCAGTCTCTTTATTCAGTGAGTCAGGACCAATGTTAAATCAGGGGGGGTTCTGTTAGTTATCTGACTCTGGGGATGCCATGTGAGTTTTGTCAATCCAGATTAAACTTTAATGTGGTATTCCATGGCAGTTCAGATATTTATGACCCTCACAGGTTAAACCCCAAAGACTTTTGTGATCCTCTGGCTAAATAACTACAGAGCAGCTAGCAGGCTAAACGTTCTCCCCCTGTCCATGATTCCTGTCTTAGTTGTGATGTCGGGATGTTGTGACCGGACGGGACAGCTGCCCTGCTCGACCCTAAAAAACCTCATTACAAACACACACTCCCTCACACAAATACACCCAATCACACACACACACACACACACACACACACACCTGTTGCTGCTCCTCTTGGATGAGTTTCATCACTGGCTCAGATTCTCTGTTGTGAAATTAGATTTTCTCGCTCTCTCTAGTCGTTTCTCACATCTGCCGGCTTGCGTGGCAACCGACAGGACAACACGCGTCACGTGGCGTAACGTTTGCCCTCTTGTCCGTCTCTCAAAATAACCTCAGAGCGCCTATAGTTTTTCCAGTCCCCCACCTTGACCCACCCGCTGGACCCGCTGTCCCGTGGACTCTATTGGCTGGCAGGGTGAGACTGAAGCACCTGACCGAGGGATTTCTGGTTTTAAAGTGAGGCACGCAGAGTCCTGTACCTCCCGCTGACATTATGTATTCTCCACAATAAACAGGTGACATTAGTCTGTGAAAGCCAGCAGTGAGTTTGATGTTATAGTTTAAGCTGTTATTGATCCTTACTTTACATGAGATTGGAATCACCTGCATCATTCATGGTAATATTACATGTAATTCTGAAAGTAAACTGTTATCCCATCAATACTAAATCATTAGTTAAGTATTATATACGGCACCAGTCAAATGTTTGGACACACTTTCTCATTGAATTAATTGAGAAAATGTGTCCAAACCCTTGACTGGCACTGTTTATGTCCATTAGCACATGTGTTCAGTGTGACACGTTGAAATGTAGGTTAATCAACTGAAACCTTGTGAAGCATCGAGGGGTTTTACTCCACCTGCAACAGGTGGAGTAAAAGCCATTTCACAACCTTCCATTTTGGATAATATTTAAAAACGTCCGTTGCACTGCAATACATTTCTATGTATTTTATTTTGTGTCCCTCGTTCTGTGGCTGACCTGAACCTGCCTGGACATGTGGACAGGAGTGAGAACGAGGCCAAAAGGACACATGATGACACATATGGGGACGTGGGCTGCTCAGATTGCACTCGCCGTCAACTGACTAAGCACTGTGAAGACATACTGCACTGAGGGATGGAGAGAGGCCTGGTGTATTGATTTCATTTTATTGTGAAAAATCACTAATTTACACTAGAAAAGCAGTACAAAAATATGAAAAAACACATTTGGATTTTACCATATTGTGCGTGGTGTCATTCTAGGGTAATGGTTCCAAAGCACTTAAAAAAAACAAAAAAAACACAAAACAACAAACAATTAATTATTTGTCAAAATGCAGTCTAAGGTACACTAAAAAGAAATCAATTTCTGTTTAAAAAAAACATTTTTCAGTGCAAAGCAACCAGACTGAGCACCCGACGGTAAACACACCCAGGATTCAATCATGACAAGTGAAATCTTGTGATCCGGAGCCGGCTGAGAATAGCACTACAGCCCCCTGGGAGGTCAAGACAGGTTGAGAAAGGGATATGGCGAACATTCGCCTGTACATCTATAGGTTTGGATGTTAAGAAAGAAAAGACATGGAACATTTCCAGGTATTGGAATAATCATTTTTCTCTCCATTAACGCTTTTTGCCTGACACTCGTAGATAAACTGCTTTCATCTAAACACCACAAACGCATAGACGTGTATCTGAGCTCAGCCATGATTTTGCCCGTGATTCGAGACGTACGTCAGAGTCAGCGAGCCATGGTCAAACAGTTTATACGGCAGAGTTCCCTTAGACGTCCAAGTGTCTGTCTTTGTGTCATAGCACTCAAAATTGTCAGAGTCCTCGATGACGTCGTGGCCGTTGATGTGACGTCCGCCTGTGACGTAGACTTTGTTGTTGAGGACGGTGGCAGAGTGGTGCATCCTCCGCTCCTTCAGGTTGGCACACTTAATGAACCGGTTTGTCTTGATGTCGTATGCGATCGTCCTCCGGGTGTATCCTGTGACAAGGGGGGCATTCATTTGAGAATGGTGGCCTTGTGGCTCAAGACAAAAGATTTGATGCATTTATACAATCTGCTAAATTAATAAATGCTCAACGAAAGCAGAATTGATACTATTTTTATGGATTGCTTTTTCCTTTTCTTCGCATAATGATGTGTAATGAGCTTTAAACACAGACATTGTTTTGTTAGCCCTCATCACTGATATAGTTTACCTCCAATGATGTAAATTTTGTCGTCCACAGTGGCAGCAGGAGCAGAGACATTCTTTACCGTTCTGTTCTCCAACCTAGACCACATGTTTCTGGCAATGTGATACACCTATCGAAGGAGGGGGGCAGAGAGGGGGAATAGATTTGGTCTGAGTTCATAAATCACTGAGAATGACGATGAAGACGATGAACAGAAATGTAGCTGCAAAAGGAAATCAAGCATAAATAGGGATTTAGTGCTTGAAAAACATGTACCTGTATTATTCTGACTGGGTTCTGCATGGCATCCTCTCCTCCGAACACATAGATCCTCTGGTTAGCCACAGCCACCGCCGGGTGCAACACAGCCTCCGGCATGGGCGCCATGGCCTCCCATTGGTTGAACATACTGTTGTACCTGATAACACCATTGAGAAATAACAGCATTGTTACTTCTCACAACTGTTTGTTTTGTTCTGTGTGCGTTACAGGTTGTTTGTGCGTTATGATCATTACCTCTCCGCGCTGTTCGTCAGTCGTCTGTCAGACCCGAGGCCACCCAGGACGAAGATGAAGTGGAGGTAGGAGACGCTTTGGTGGGCAAAGCGTGCCGTCGGCATGGGTTCTGCCGTCCGCCACTGGTTGGTTTTGAGGGAGAGGGTGTAGACGGTCATACTGACTTGCCCGTCTTGCGTGTTCGTGGTCATGCCGCCGATAACATACAAGACGCTGTGGAGGGCGACGTAGGAGGCCTTGTACAGACGAACGGGCAGCTTGGCGAGCTGCTGCCACGTCTCGCTCCTCTCATCAAACACGAGGGCCTCCCTGGAGGTCTGCTCGTTGTTCTTCCTCCCTCCGACCACCACCAACATGTCGTGGCAGGACGAGCGCCTCGGCGCCACCCAGAGAGGTTTGAAGTCCACTGCCGAGTCGCCGAGGCATTTTGTGCTGACGGAAAACATGAGGCGTCTGACAGAGTCTATGAGCTCGGCGCAGAGGGTGGAGGACTGGATCAGAGGGTCGTTGGCTATGAACTGGAAGAGGTACGTGGGATGGATGTGGCGGAGGCGGACTTTCTTGAACAGCTCGCTGATT